TGTATAAAGCGGTTAGGGAACGGCCGGAGCGCAGCAGTGACTCCTCCGCACCAGCAGGCGGAGGTGCTGAAACCCCGCGGTGGAGATGAACCGAAAACAAACCTGGACAGGAAACACGAGGATCTTTGTTGACAGGGGACCGCACGGCATCCGTTACCGTACAACAACAAAATAAAACGCCGATAATAATCATCCTAAGAAATATGATTTCACACCTGAAGAAGGCTCCACGCCCGAAACATTGTGTTTTCATTCTTCTCTTTTCAGCACGGAATAAATCTACTTGTTCCTTTGCAGCCTACGCATGCTGACGCAGCTACCCACCTGAACTATCATAAGAAATATTAATTGTAAAGCAACCTGCTAAAAAATAGTTTATTTTTGGTGCTCTGCTCGTATTGAAGTTTTACGTGGGAAAGAAAGGAGCGTGAAATTTGAAGCAAAGTGGGAAAATAGAGTCGAAACCATTGTGCGCCTATATACGAGCCCATACGGCAACATGCAGGTCATTGTATTATTTTTTAATGTTTTATTTTTTATATCTTTTATGTACAAAAAAGGAAAATACACCAAACAAGGGTATACACATACAGATGTCACAGCATGATAGAACAAAGGTTACATCAAATATGTTTGTTAACCAACTCACCAAGTATATTTTTAAATATTTTTAGTGAATTTGAGTAAAGCTTAAATGAGTTAGAAATTTATTTAAAGCACCTGGAAGGTTTTTTTTTTACTCTACACATTTGGTAAAATTTTGCCAACATGAGAATGTCATTTAACATTATACGAACTTCTTGGGTAGTAGTATTCACTCCAGAGTAGCTGCAGCCCATATTGGCTTCATTACTCTGCTCTCCTCCCCACTGATACCCGGTGTGTGGTGAGCGTTCTGGCGCACTATGGCTGCCGTCGCATCATCCAGGTGGGGCTTCACACTGGTGGGGGTGGAGGGGATCCCCAATACCTGTAAAGCGCTTTGAGTGGACTGTCCAGAAAAGTGCTATGTAATTAATTAAACTGTTACTGTGGGTGATGCAACAGCAGCCATAGTGCGCCAGAACACTCACCACACATCAGCTATTAGTGGAGAGGAGAGCAGAGAGTAATGAAGCCAGTTCATAGATGGGGATTATTAGGAGGCCATGATTGGTAAGGGCCAATGGGAAATTTAGCCACAATGCCGGGGTTACACCCCTTCTCTTTTTGAGAAACGCCCTGGGATTTTTAATGACCACAGAGAGTCAGGACCTCTGTTTTACATCTCATCTGAAGGACAGCATCTTTTTACAGTACAGTGTCCCCGTCACTATACTGGGGCATTAGGACCCACATGGACCACAGGTTGAGCGCCCCCTGCTGGCCCCACTAACACCTCTTCCAGCAGCATACAGTTGGCGCTCAACCTGTGGTCCCCAGGAGATCTCCCACCCAGGTACTGACCAGGCTCACACCTGCTTAACTTCAGTGGGTTACCAGTTGTGAGATGCAGGGTGATATGGCTGCTGCTAGTTTATGTTATTATTCTTGTAGCGCCAATTGATTTTGTAGTGAATTTTGAGATTGCTCATTTTATCCATCAGACATTCCATTTATGGTGTAAATTGTTTTTCTGTTTTGCTTCCATTTCCAATCTTGGCTTGCATTGTGTAGTGTCTTCTGTCCTGACCGGAGGGTCTCATCCAGCTGTGGGATATCAACTCAACACAGTTGGGCAGTTTATTCCGCACGCCCACCACCCTTTATGTAAAAAGCCATCTCCTCAGATTTCTATGAGGTCCTGTGCCAAAACTGTAGAAATCTGTAAATTGTGTTGTAAATTGCAATTGTGTAATTTATTGTATCCTATTTTTTTCTTTTCATTAATCTAATCCCTGTAAATTCCTGTCTTTCTAGTCTTCTATCCCTCTTAACAAGCTCGCGGATAAAGCATTTCATTGCCGACAACACCGCTGTATGCTGTTCTGTTTGTGCATTGATAAATAAACCTTGACTGATTGATTGAAATCGTTCTCTATTCCCTGCTTCATATGTGTAACATTATTGAAGACCTCCCAGAAGAGCACAGAAAACCAGCTTTGTACCTCTAGTATCGATTTAATTGTCATAGTCTTGTGTTTATGCGCAACTGAGCTGGCTCTTGGGATGTAATACAACGGTTTGGCCAACAGAAACAAAGACGTTTAAGTACCATCTTTTAGAGGTGTCATTTATTTTCAAACTCCCTTCTGTATTGAGCCCATAAGCATTTAACCATTTCATGGAAAACATCCATCCATTTTTCTCGCCCCTTCTACCAATTCAGGGTTGCAGAGGAGCTAAAGTCTATCCCAGCAAGCAACAGGCACAAGGTGAGATACACCCTGGCCAGGACTCCAGGACCGGGGAGTTGACATCAGTGAGCTACAATAACACACACCAGGATTTGTTGAGATTTAAGGCTCTCCTAGAGCCCTGGCCACAGCCTCCATGTCTTTTGACTGTGGGAGGAAACCTGAGGTGACCCATGCAAACACATGGAGAACATACAGACTCCACACAGACAGCACCCCAGGAATTAACCCAGCGCTACAAGGTAGCAACGCTAACCACTATGCCACCATGCTGCCCTGTTAAATAAACTACTTTTGCCAAAAAAATGGAAAGCATACATTTTGTTGAAAAAAAATCTCTTAAGTTTCTTTGTGCATTTCAAAATATTGCAGCGAATGTGCTTCTCATGGCTCTGAGAAGTTCTGAATGGAGAATTCAGTGCCTAGAGTAATGCTTAGATTTCAGAACACAAGGGATTAGACACCATTGTTGAAACTGATACTTTCCCCAAGATCCTTCTGGATAAACCCCCCTGCAACTTGGTTGAATCAGCAACTAAGAGAACCAGCTGGACTCATCCGTAGCTCTCCTGCTGGTTCTGAGAAGCAGCTGCACCAGCAACAGTGAGAAGGCACTACTTCAGCCAGAGCCATCTAGCCAGCAGCAGCTGTCTCACTCTGCAGCTCACAGCTCACAGCTGGAAGCCCCCTGAAGCTCAGCAGGTATAAGCCTGGTCAGTACCTGGAGGGGAGACCTCCTGGGAAAAACAAAAGTTCCTGCTGGAAGAGGTGTTAGGGGGACCAGTAGGGGGTGCTCACCCTGCAGTCTGTGTGGGTCCTAATGCCCCAGTATAGTGATGGGGACAATATACTGTAAAAATGTGCTGCCCTTTGGATAAGACATAAAAACAAAACCCACAGCATAACTGCTGTGTTTCATTTCTTTACAGCATGGGATAAACCTCTACTTGTTCCTGTGCTGATAGGTGAATTGGCTCCTGTGAAACTGGCCCTGGTGTAAGTGTGTGTGAGTGTGATGGAGGGTTAGAAAGTGAGAGGAGAGGAGTTTTCTTTCTGTCCTTTAACATGGTGAATCTGCTGGCAATACTGCTTGGTATGTGCTTAGGCCAGAAGCTCAGCGCCTCAGGAAACTGTTTAACCCAAAATAGAATTACCTGCTTCGTTACGCTCGGGACTGTCCTCTTTTCCTCCAGAGGGATTGAGTGGTTGTGTAACTCTGAAGAGATCAGAATACATTGGCACGGGCTCATATGGGTTCTGACGAGGCGACAGTACCCCTTCTGCATTATCCTATGCTAAACTGTCCAGAATAAAATTCCTGGTTGCCATTTAGTTATGAACTTGCCAGTACTTTTGGGTTATTTCCTTTCAAACAGAGCCCTGGGGGTATCTTGTCAAACACCAACGCTGCCTCTTCTATGGTTGTGTGAGGGTTTAGTTATTCCTGTGTGTGTGTGGGGGGGGTGTATCTCTCATCAATAACATATCCCAAGTGAAGCAAAATCACTATTACTAAATCACTCAGATCTTCATGGTCATCGCTCCTCCTGCTCTTGGGTCCTGGGTCCGAATGTGGTCAGAGCAACCTTCTGTGTGGAGTCTGCATGTTCCAAACACGTGCTGGCTGGGTTGTCCAATGTAAAGGGGAGTTTTTATGTGTGAGGATTGAAGCCCTGGGAGAATAGCGCCTCCTACAGGCTGCTGACTCGGTGTGCCCTCTGTGCATCCCGGATAGTCAGTTTGTCACAGCCCTTATCTGGAACGTGCAGCTTTCTACTATTAAACGGATGGATTTCTACACAAAAGCTTTTGAACGGGAAATGTATTCTAACCGTCTCATTTTGCAAGGAGTTACTGAAACTCCTTGCGCTAAGTGCTCTGAAAAGACGAGCCGGGGTCCTGCTCTCAGGGCTGTGTCAGCACGGAAGGGCATGCGGAAAATAAGCATTTTTAGCTTCAAAAACTGCACCCAAAATGGTAAGAGCACACAAGTTGGGAGCACACAGCCGAGTGCTGATGTGAAGTGTTATTATGTTTAAGAGGGCGAAAGTCGAGTGAAATATCAAAAGTGAAAATAATTGCTTATTTTTCCTGATACGCTGTGTAACCTCAACATCCGCGCGAGTGATGCAATAAGTTTCATAAATCTACTCTTCTGCATATAAAAGCTTTAATTCAACCACTACACTGCAGCAGCGCGGGTTTTCTTGTTCACCTGAAGTCATCGTCGCCTGTGCGGAGCGTGGGAAGATTTGGGGAGTCCTGCAGTGACGTGTAAAAACCTTGCAAAGTCATTTTCACATTTAAAAAGATAAAAATATCAGCTTTTCAGCTGGACCTTTTATGCTTTTTTTTTTTTACAGAAGGTTAGACATTTATAAATCTAGATCAGGCATTCGCTTCTGTCCCGGGTATGAAACTGAGATATGAACAGCTCCTCACCTGGGACAAACGGTAAGTCGTTCCAATTACGGCTCAGCCTGACTAGTTTGGCGCAGCTCCACGGCCTTAAACTGGGTACCAATTAAAAAAAACTGTTGGTACCAGGCGTGCTGGTCCCTAGGTCAGGAGTTAGGGTCCTCTGTCATTGAGTGTACTTCTTATTACTGACCGGTAATCGTTGTATTAAATCCAATTGCAACACAGTTTTACTTTGCTTAGACCAGAGCGTATTTTGCACGTTTTTGGTAGAAAAAAAAGGCGCTGGCTGGAAATGTAAATCGCCTCTGCCAGAGGCGTCAGCTATCGGTGAAGTGTGGTAAGTGGCTCCGGCTGGGGGTCACGGCGCGTCACTCCGGCTCCGGGAGCAGGCGGGGTGCGGGGCTGGGCCGGGTCGGGCGCCGCAGACACACGCAGCGCGACGGCGGCAGGGCTGCACGGACTCGCCGGTCTCAGTCTGCCTGCATCTGGCCAGCAGTGCCTCCCCAACGCGCGTCCACAGCGGTTTATTTCCCCTTGTACGCAATTAGCCAAAACAACCGGGTTGTGATTCCACCGGAAGGGGCACGGGGAGACCTGCCGCCGCGGAGGTGAGTTTTCCAGGGAGGAGGATCCGACTTTAGTCCGGGGATCGAGGGGTTTGCAGAAGTGGGGAGGCCGCGGAGGGAAGACTTTTTTTTTCCCCCACAAAGTTTTTTTTTTTGGAAAGGGAAAGGGAGGCTTTAGTAGGTGATAAAGGGAGTTTATTCTTACAAATTACGGAAGCCGCCCTTTACGCTTTGCTTTTTCGAAGCCGGACCTGGTCGATCTGAGGGTTTGTCTCGGCGTGAGTCCGGACTCGGCGAGAGCCGCCGCCGCCGCCGCCGCCTCCGCCTGCAGGGACGGGGGACAAAGCGGGCTCTCGGCTCCCTGCAAGACCCCTGAGCGGGGGTAAGGGGGAAATCCTACGGATCTGGGAGAAAACATGGCTTCTGGGGCCTCTTCACGGGGCGGGGGTGGGGGGATTTGGAAGCTGATGGACAAAAGATGTCTTTACTTCCCCTCTACTCCCGAGGGATTGAATGAAGCCTTTCACAGGGAGCTCGACACAAACAGGTCCTGCCTTCCTGCCTCCCGGACCGGGGTTAGCCGCAGAAAGCGTACGGCAGCTCATTTAGCAGGGATTTCGTGCACTCCGAGTAGGTGGTCGACGGTATTTTCTTTGCGTTTTATGTTTTTTTTTTAATTGAATGTGGCTACTAACTACTCCTTTTTCTAAAAAAAAAAAAAACCCTGGTCGGTGGCGCGTAACCCGAGCCGTGCAGGGATGGGGGTTGCGCTTCTGGGGCCCGGGGTTTGTTTTGAAAAGCGATGTGATGTTCAGCGGCGGTTTTAATACCGTCCGTCCGCACGAACAAGGCAAAGCAACGGCCTTTTCCCCGCTTATCCTCGAAAACCTTCGGGATCGTCGGACTCGAGCACCGCTTCTCCCGTGTACCGAGGCGGAATTATCACCGGTTTCATAATTATTTCTGAGGGGGTAAGACAATTGATTTCATAGCCTGCCCGTTACTCCTAACACTATACCGTGTGTGTAGTGTGGTGCTCTGGACTTGTGACGCACAAGGTCGCGGGTTCGAATCAGAGCTGTCATACCCTCTTCACCCCTCGCTCGGATAACCTTTAATAAATGCGATGTCGTCTAAATGCGCCTCACCACGGGAATAGTTTTAAATGAGAAGGGGTTCTTAACTTACCCGTGCTGATTGCTTATAAGTGCTGATTCGCATTTGTTGACAAAACATATTCCAGTTTTCTGGGTGAAATGAACAGGGTGATGCTGTAGATTTGTAGAGTGCTTTAAGTAAAAGGGTGGCAGCTGAGGCATGCAACACGGCAACAGTAACGATGAGTGTAAGAGAGAGAAGATAAAATCACTTTATTAGCCATATACAATTTCTTGCATTAGGAATTCGTCTTTTTCGCATACCCCAGCTTGCTCTCCATGAAGCGATCTGTCATACACATTTTTCAGCACTCTTGCAGCCGAGAGGAGGCTGTTCACTGCACTGGATTGCTAGTAGGTAATTGATCCGGGGATGTCATCCAGCTGTTTCTTGAAAGAGGTCAGGGTATTGGCTTTAAAAAGTTGGAAGGGCAGCTTGTTCCACACTCCTACTACCCTTTGTGTACAGTAGTGCAGTTTTTCTCTACTTGTTCCTTTGCAGTAAGCGCTGCCCACACACCTCCTTCTTCCTACAAAAATATGGTAAAGAGTATCGCTGTTCCCACAACAACTGACAAGGTTTCTTCCCAGACTTGGGGTATTATGTCAGGCTGATGGGCGAAGCTCAAGAGCTGTGTTACTTTGCCCTTTCAAATATGTAGTTCTCCTGGGCCAGTGTGTGCAGGAACTCAAAATCCCAGCAGGCTAAGGTTGTGTTGGATGGCCAATTAAGTGCTTTCCATGTGTTAAGCCATTCATTCAAGCGGGTCTCATTGTATAGAAAGTGTCTCTCTGGGAGACCACAGCTGGGGGCCAAGCAGAGGGAAGGATGAAGAGTGAAACGCGCTGGGCCCCTTTGAGATGGAAAAACACTACGTGAATAAAATGCAGGGGATTATTATTATTATTGGCCGCTGCTCCTCGCTGTGCTAGGGACCGTGCGATCAAGTCCAGGGGGATGTAAGGAGTGTCCCATTAACATCTGGCAGTGTTTATTTGTGTGAAGTAAAACAGGCTAGATAATTTATTGTCCACTACTGTGGAAATTTCTTTGGCTTTTCCCATAAAAGTACAAAACACACAAGCAAGACATAAAAGTCACATGAAATCACAACAGCAGAATGTAATAACATCAATACACAGATAAGTAAATGGGTAGAGGGGAGGACTCCAATGACATACCTTCATTGAGCAGTTTTATTGCAGAGGGGGCAAAGCACTTCTTGCATGTTTTGGTTTAATTTGGTCCCCATTATGAATTTAGATGGAGAGGGTGTGTGGAATTCGCTGTGATGTTCCTTTGCGATTCTGAGAACTATATTATAATATACAAAATAATTTCATAACCACACTGAAGTACAAACGCCACAGTTTTAATATACTCCACACGATGGCAGGTCTGTTTCTTAGAAACCCCATTTGCTTCAGTGATATTGTCACGCTCCTCGGGAATGAAATGATCGATTTGTACGCTCGGCAGAATCTGGGCATTGTGGGAGGTGCTGGATATGAACGGGACTCACTGTCCTAACCAGAGCCTGTCTTCCTGATATCTGGCCCCCAGGAGCCCGCTGTTCCCCTGCCGCTCGCCCCGCTGCGGATCGGGGACCACGCGGAGCACGAGCTGCCCGAGGCCGGGAGAGCTCGTCCCTGCGCTTCCCAGGAGTGCCGCCAGGATCCCGGACTGACTTCCCGGGGGGCAGGGGGGGCGCGAGGTGGGATGTAAGCTCACGCCGCGATGAACGGCGCCAGCGAATCTGCGCTCTTCCTCATGGAGGACGACACGTATGTCCGCATCAAAGAGGAGCCAACGGAGGAAGAGGAAGAAGAAGAGGGCGGAGGAGCAGGAGCAGAGAGACACGACCCAGTCCTGTTCCACAACGTGGCGTCCGGTTCTGACGACCCTCCCGGTGCTGCCGGCTCTCCGTTCATCCTGAAGACAGAGGAGGAAGAGGAGGAGGAAGAGGAGGAGGTGGAGGAGGAGGAGGAGGAAGAAGAAGAGGAGGAAGAGGAGCAGGTGGGCGGGGACAGTGGCGGCGGCCGGAAGAGAGCCCACGCTCCGGGCCGCCAGTTGGCACCCACCGGCGCCCGCAGGACCAAGCTGGACTGCCCCCGTGCCCCGCAGGGACCCTCGGACGCTCCGAAGACAGGTAAGGGTGTCCCATCGGTCCTTACAGCCCTGGTGCCGAGCTCCCCGGCGCGGGCGAACCGATCCAGGTTGGACCAGAACCCGTTGGACCACAGTGCTTGTGGTGCCGGTGCCTGAGGGGGTCATGCCCCCAGACGGTGCCGGCCACTACCCGCCCCTGGGATTTTTGTCCGGTAGAGCCCTGCTGCTGGTTCTTCCCCGGTGTCCTGACGCGTTGCTGTTTCCTCTCCCCCAGTGTGCGGGCAGTGCCAGGCCCTGCTGGGCGACCGCTGCGACGCCTGGGGCTCGGCCGTGGTGGCCCGGAACTGCCCCGCCGAACCGGGCCAGGCGCACCGGGCGCGGCTCACCCTGCCCGCCGGGCTGGGCCTGGAGCCCCTGGGAGTCTTCAACCGGGACGCTGAGATCCCCCGCGGGGTGTACTTCGGGCCCTATGAGGGGGAGCCCGCCAGCGAGGAGGAGGCCCTGAGCAGCGCGCACTCCTGGGTGGTGAGTCGCTCCTTCCAGCCCCTTCCCAGCAGCGCCGGCGGCAGGTTTCACGGCCCTGCTTGTGGCTGACGTCTGCTCGTACCCAGCTCATACCCAGGCAAGCTCTTCCTTCAGCGGGTGACCGAGTCCCCTTCTCCTGGTCTCAGCCCTGACGTTTCAGGATGGAGGGGTGTATTTTCTTGGGTGCCCTCTGACATGGGGGTGAGGCGGGGGTTAGGCTCAAGACTTTGATTTTTTTAAGGAAATAAGCCTGATTTTAATATTTGAAAAGCAGTTTCGTATTCTATTGCTTTAAATTAATCCTTTTACCACAATGAGAACATAAAAAATGCTAACAAATGAGGGGAGCCCACTCAGCCTGTCGAGCTCAGTTCACAATTCACAGCCTGTGGAACTAAAGAGACTCAGCTCCTTCAGGCTGTCAGTGTGGGACACTCCCTTCAGACTAAAGAGACCCACTTCCTTCAGTCTGTCAGTGTAGGACACTCCTTTCAGACTAAAGAGGCTCAGTTCCTTCAGTCTGTCAGTGTAGGACACTCCCTTCAGACTAAAGAGACCCAGTTCCTTCAGTCTGTCATTGTAGGACACTCCTTTCAGACTAAAGAGGCTCAGTTCCTTAACTTTATGAGAGGAGGACCTTTCATTCAGCCACAGAATGTATCTGGTTGATCTCAATCCAGAGTAGCAACATCTTTTTATATAACATGGTGACCTTAACTGTCCCAAGTATTCTAAATGAGACTTTAATGGTGTGTTTGCATGCTGTGTGTGGGATGTAATGGTGAAAAACGTTATATGAGCATTATATTCTGAACTTTTAACTCTATTCTTCCGTTTGGTCTGCGAACGGTCTGGAAGATGAAAGTGTGGGTACAGGCTGGGAGAGGCTTTGTTCTGAAAGGCCGGGCTGTTCGCTCTCACTTCCTGAGCTGTTGACATTGTCCCCTCAGATCTCGAAGGAGGGAGGCGGGTTCGAGTTCATCGACGGGGAGAGGGAGGAGAGCGCCAACTGGCTGAGGTGAGACCGGGGCCTAGCGCGGCGCGGTCTGCTCGTTCCCGGGTCCCAAGGCTACAGCTCGCCCGTGACCCCCCGTGTCTCCCTCGTCCTCTCGGCAGGTTTGTCAGGTGCGCCCGGGACGAGCAGGACCAGAACCTGGAGGCGGTCCAGTGGCAGGGAAAGGTCTTCTTCCGGGCCTGCAGGCCCATCGCCCCGGGCAGCGAGCTGCGCGTCTGGTACTCGGACCGGTACGCGGCCGAGCTGGGCCTCCTGTGGGACCGGCTGTGGGACAGGAAGTGCCGCTCAGAAGGTAAGAGCAGACAGACCTGAAGACGTCCGGTGTTAATGT